AAAGTACATCCTTAACGCTCTGTTACAGTAAAGATAGCAGATAAAGTACATCCTTAACGCTCTGTTACAGTAAAGATAGCAGATAAAGTACATCCTTAACGCTCTGTTACAGTAAAGATAGCAGATATAGTACATCCTTAAAGCTCTGTTACAGTAAAGATAGCAGATAAAGTACATCCTTAAGCTCTGATTACAGTAAAGATAGCAGATAAAGTACATCCTTAACGCTCTGTTACAGTAATAGTGGCAGATAAAGTACATCCTTAAAGCTCGCTTGTAAAAAAAAAAGTGTAGATGTGTTGAAGAACTCTGTGAATTGCTCTACTTATTACACGAGTACAGATAATTGATAAGAACATAAAACAAATAATGGAGGGAGGAGGAGTTTGTCTGTTAAATGAAATTATTGTTTAGGATGTTATTTTTTTCCCAGGTTTGTTTTTGTTGTTCCTGGAGTTTCTGCCCCAAGAATAAAGATGCACATGTCCCATCCTCCCACCTCAACATTACAGAAAATCAAGTTATGGAAACAAAATATTCAAAAACAGTTGGCTCCTCTCTGTAGATATCTGCATCCAATCAGCAGTAACATGTCAACCCAGTTTCCAGATTTAAGACTTATACAGTATGATTGTGGTATGTATTGTCTAAACATTATTTTGAGTGACATTTTTAATTATAAATTATATATTTTTGTGTTTATTAATAAAACGAAATATTTATGTATATTTAAAAAAGATGTGTGTATAATGTTCTTTGGCTATTGTTGTCATTATGTTCTCTTGTGAATTAAAGTATGGCTTATCACATACATTGTTCAGTTTTGTGTATACTCTAACAGATAATACAGTAATTACTGTTCAACGTGTTATTTCAGGTAAACTTCAAACTCTAGACAAGCTTCTGTGGCAATTAAAAAATGATGGACACAGAATTTTAATATTTACTCAAATGTCAAGAATACTCGACATACTTGAACAGTTTTTGAACTATCATGGCCATACCTACCTTCGTTTGGATGGTAGTACACGAATAGAACAAAGACAGGTAAGTATTTAACTTCAAAAGCTTCTTATTTTATTGGTTTCAGAGAAAAATATTAGTACTCTGGGAACTCGTATCAGGTGTATATGTCAAACCTGTGATACCTGGTTTGAACGTGCGTTTAGTTTATGAAGAGATTGTTTCAAAAATTTATCAAGTTTATATTTCAGGTAATTAGTGAAAAATTAAAACACGACCTTTTTTTATTCTGTACTGAAAAATAAACCAAGGAGAGTTCATCCTTGAATGATTTAACGTTCTCCAAATATGAAAATTATATAGTAAACTTTTCAGACATTTGAGACTATGTTATGTTTTTCTTTAATTGAAAGTTGTGTTTTAGTTAATGTAAGTCTTGCGATATGTAAGTAAATTTGTATAGTTAAGGAATTGTTTGACTTGTGTTCAATTCAGTGTTTGTGTGACAATAAGTTGAATTGTTTTAGTGTAAGAGAACTTGTAATACATAGAAATGTTCCGTCAATTTTTGTACAGGCTTTGATGGAAAGATTCAATGCAGACAAGCGTATCTTCTGTTTCATCCTTTCTACTCGTTCAGGGGGTATCGGAGTAAACCTGACAGGAGCAGATACTGTTATTTTTTATGATAGTGACTGGAATCCAACTATGGATGCCCAGGCCCAAGATCGATGTCACAGAATTGGTCAAACACGTGATGTTCACATATACAGGTGAAGATTACTCTGTATGCTCACAGGAACATTAAACGTTTAGCTGAAGGAAAGATGAAAACATACTTTGTTTTAGATTTTGATAAAGCACTTTCATTAGACAATCTAATTAATTTTTCTTCCATTTCTGATAGTTCTTAAAAATATGATTAATAGAAAAAAAATTGTTGGATTAATTTATTGCAAATCTAAAAAACCAGAGACATGTGTAGAATTTTTTTATATTAAACCTTAGTATCATGTTGTAATACTGGAGTTTGCTACCACAATAATTTTTGAGCACAAATAATGCTAATTTTTATTTAAAGTGTTCTATACATACTTGTATTGAAGAAATATGACTACTACTATAACAATATTTTTTTAGACTATTAGACTACTGTACTTGAGATTAAAGGAATAATTTGTTTTGTGTGCTTATAATTATGTTTTTAGGAAATAAAGTAGCCGTATAAAATATATAATTAATACAGGTAATGCATGAAATTACAAATCACGTGCACTGTTGTTTGGCAAATGACGAGTTTTAGTTGTCAAACACTAAAAAAAAAATTCAACTAGCTGGCCATTTTTCTTTAAATAGGCTAGTCAGTGAAATGACTGTAGAAGAGAATATCCTGAAGAAAGCAGGACAGAAGCGGTTGTTAGGAGATCTTGCCATTGAAGGAGGAAACTTTACCTCTGTGTTTTTTCAGAAGGTGTGTGAAATAGGTTTGTTTCTAAGATTATGTGGCAATGAATAAGTAATAATAAAAAAAAAATGGTTCAAATGTTGAACAAACAGTGGTCCTTTAATTCATCTTATCACAGCACCCACTACAGCTCATACTTTACAGCTAATTTTTATACTTATAATAGTCCTTTTAATTAAGTGTGCATGGGTCCAGTCTGATGGACTAGTCCACTATTGGAGAAGAAGTGTTGACTATAATTCCGAATTTACTATTAGTATTTACATGAAATGTGGCAGGATTTTAGTAATATGTACAAATATGTTGTACACACAAAACCAGATGTGTTACAGAAGTATTTGTACTCAGGATATGTCTGTGTATTGATGACAAGTTTGATTCAGACTCTTTACAAGTCAGAGTGCAAGATTATGTTGATGTAAAGAGTAAAAATACTTTTATCCATTGTAAAGTTTGCATATTTTATTTACATAACCTCTAGAACCTTTGAAACTCCTGTGTACAGTTTTTTGTTGTATCTGGTACTCACTCTCCTCTACCATAAATAGTTGGAAAATGACATGAAATACATAATACCGTGTTTAATGACCTCTGGACTTTGGACATCACTCAAACATGTAGGATTAATATACTCCCACTGGTGTTTGTTTTAGTGTGTGTATCTATAACATGGAAAGATGGTATTACGGATTTATTTATTTATTATTTTCAGTATTGTTTATTAACTCTTAACACGGGGTTGGTCAATTTGACCAACCACGTAACCTCTTTGTACTCGATTAAAGTCTTTATAGATTTTTAGTAAGCCAACGTATCACCTACCAATTCCAGTATTTTTAACTTCAGTTTTTGGTAGATTACTTCTCTCAACAGAGGCTCGTATAGTCTTTACATTTGACACTACTAACTTAAATATAGTTTGTATATCTTCACTAAATTTGGTAGTCTTTCAGTTCATATTATCAAGTCTTTCACAAAGAAAAAATCTTATTTTTTAGTGAATTATTTTTAATAATCTAAAATGATTTGTCCAAGAACATATTGAGTACTTGTGTTGAATAGTCTGTGTGGAAAATGATTTTAGCGCTAAAATTAAAAATACTTTTCTTTATCTCAAAAATATCAAATTTCCTTTGTGTAATCCCTAAAACCACCTAAAAAAAGGCAAAATTAATCAAAATTATCCCTCTTTTTTTCGTTCTAGAATGACTTCAAATTGTAACATGAAACTACATTAGTTTGTCCTAAGTAGCTTTAAGCTTGTAACACTATACATATATTTATAATTAAATTTTATTGTTTTCTTGCCCTTTGAACCATGTCTAACTATTATCTGTGTCTTAATAAGTTGTGAATCACTCGGGGCATGTTCAGCTCATGTTATGCTGTCGAATTACATTACCTACGTGCTTGCCTCATGAAACATTTTTATTATATTATTATTTGTTTTACCTAATCTGAATTTAACTAATTTAAAAAGATCCCTATTTTTACATTTTAGTTACTTTTATAATGATAATAATAATATTAAACATGAAAAACAAGAAATAAAATACTTAACCAATTTTCTTTTTTCTTGCTGTAAATTGTCGATGAAACTTAAGTCTATTTATTTTATTCTAATGGTAGTAGTGCGTTAAATAATTTTCATTTAATTAAATAATGTACCAAAGAACATAGACTAATAACATGCAAAAAGCAGACAATTTCCCTTAACCCTAAAAATTTTTCTGGCTTTCTAACTATAAGACAAGAGCTGTTACAAGTTCATCCAAGATAATCGTTAAATTTCCCATGGGAATGAAGCTTTTATCCTGAGTGAAATTGATGCTTATCTGCTCAAAACACAACGTTATACAATACGTCATTTGATAGATGTAAATCTTGACTTTTTGTTGGTTATAGGTAGTATATAATTAAATATAAAAGGGAACTATTAACAAAGCCTGAAAGAGAGGATGTAGCAGGAGTTTGATTTTTAATTTATAACTTTATAATTATAATTATATTTATAATTTATAAATTGAAGGTGATAAAAATTATGGTTCGTTTGAGCAGCAATGCTTCTTTAGAGAGTAATATATGTTTAATTTTATACTTTTTCGAGGGGTGGTGGATAAAACAGAGAAGAGAAGCCTAGAGAAAATATGTCACATTTCTCACACTAGGGGAAATTCAGGATGTTTTTAATATTGCCTTGTAGAATTAGGAACTTAAAACGTATATACTATTAAAACATGAATTATTACCTACATTTTTATGATATACTAATTGGTGTAATGTAAATAAAAAGTAGTTTTTGAATTTAAGACACCTAAACTTTCTGTCATGCATAGTAAAGGATACCCGAGGCAAAAGGGTTAATAATTTTGAATCTATTTATTTTTTGGAATTTTTAATTACAGAATGCTATCCGAGAGCTGTTTGGAATTAAAGAAGATAACTCTACAGACAGATGTGTTGTCAAGAAAGATCCAAATGATTCAGATGTTTCAAAACTTGGAGTAACTGCAGTGGAAGAAAAGCCGGTTGACCTCACTGAGAAATTCCTTCAGACTGAGTTAGAGCAGGTAAATATTGTAAAGTAAAACTTCTATTTCGTACATGAGTAAAAGCATATTCTGTCTGCTAGAGTAAAAATTACTTATTCATTGGTAATAAAAATATTTTTCTGTTGGACTTTCAGCAGATCACAGTGTTATATGGTGCTATAAAAGTATTAAGAAGTCTTGAAAGGTTTTCATGGGCTGATCTTTATGTTAGGAACCAGATATATTCTACTTATAAAGGGTTGAAGTTTTAAAGCTTGGGTATTTTCAGAGATCCAAAATATGAGTGTCTCGAGATCTGAGACATAAGACAGTCTTGTATCAAATTACCATATTCAAAATTTAAACCATATAATGCAAGGCTTAGAAAGTTACTTTTCTTCCTCCGAAGGTGGTTTGTAATTTAAATGTAAAATCAAGTTTATAATTCTAATTCACTGTAGGCAAACATGACAACTTATGAGTGACTTATCATCCACATATTACAGGCTTTAGGTATGGCTGAAGAGGAAAATGATGTAGAGGCAGCTAAAACCGCAAGAGCTGAAGCTGCTGCCGAACTGGCTGAATTTGATGAATCCATCCCAATAGATTCAGAAACTAGAGATAATGAGGAGAGGTCACAGGCTGAGGAGGAGCTGGATAAATTAATGGATCAGGTTTGTGTTTATTAAGATTATGTTCGGAATTTTATTAAAGCAATAGAATTGGGTATTACTACAGTAATTAGTTATATGCATACGAAGGTTCGTTAAAATGTATTACCATTGTTTTTGTGAGATGCGTAAAATACATTTAGGAATGTTGTATAACTTGTAATAAATATATTGTTTCATACATTTATGCATACTCGTGATATGCAGCAACAACGTTATAAAAAAAATATATATTTTGTTTTTACACAGCTGACACCTGTGGAGAAATATGCCATGCAATATTTGGAAACAATTCAGGATTCATTTTCATTGGAGCAATTAAAGCAAGCAGAGGTATGTAGTCTTCTCTTTGTTTGATAAGTTTGCAGTATGTTCATTATTAAGGATCTGGTTCTATACAAGTTGAAAGGTTTGATTGTTGTTATATTTAACCCTTTGGATGCTCTAATCGGATTTACCTCCACAGTGTTGCACAAACTTTTCCTCGTAGTGCAACAGTCGGGATACTTCGTCCTTGAATTTCCCACCTTAGTACTGTGCGTGCATATGTACATCAACAAGCATAAGTGGTACTAGTGGGTTTTGATATTGAAGAAGTGCTAAAAAAAGTTCAAATTCTAAATTTCATTTTGTAATGGATAATCAACACTTTTCGAGAACCCACCCCAAATTTAATTATGCACGCAAAGGGTTAATTTTAACGTGTATTGATGGATGGTTTAAATTATCAAGAGCTTACCACTGTTATTTTTCACTTACTATTAAAACATTTTGCTTAAAGTACAAAACTTTGCTAAGAGATTGAAATACCTGATGTATCATTGATAGAAAAATGTAAAATGACCACACAAATTAGATTTGACAGAGTAGAAATTTTAACAGTGTTGTTACAGTAATTAACAAAATACTTGTTTGTTTTTTTGTACCGTAAAATGTACCTGTAGGTTACAAAAGATGAGTGCTAAAGAGGTATACATTCTTACTATATATCCTTTTAGTATCAGTTAGTATGATACAGCTGTAATTCTACGGTTTGCAATCAGTTACATATTGACGGAATGTTTTCTTTATTTTAGTGCATATCTGTACTAAGTCACATATATTTTTCATCATACTTAAATTTAGGAGGAAATAGAAGCTCAAAAGAAAGACTGGGAACTTGGAAGACTGAAGGCCTTTAAAGAGGAAGAAGAAAGACGAAGAGCATCGTACGACGAGGAAGAAGATCCGAAAATCTCGTACAGTCGAGAGGACGCGTATAATCAGGTGCCTAAAAATTCCAAATCTGGTAGCAAAGGGAAAGATGTAAAAACATCTAAGAATAAATCTAAAGACACATCCCAGGGTGGGAAAGTAGGAACAAGAAGGGGTGAAACTCCGAAGCGTAGAAGTCGCCGGATAAGTCTCCTTCAAGAAAGAAGGCAGTATGAGGGTTGCAGTGATTCTGAAATTGAAGTTAATAAGCAAATTTTTGGCAGTAAAGCTGTTAATCATTTTGATGAGAAATGCTCTTATACAATGCCATGTTTTAGGCAAAGTTCTACAGAATTGAGGACAACTACTATCAAAATTAATTCTGAAGAAATAGGTAAAAATGTTGAGGACATTAGCACACACAGCTCACCAGATAGTCCTATGACCATAGACTTTGGCTCAAAAAATGCACCTACTGCTTTTTCCAATAGCGTGGAATCAAATAAGCCTAGTTTTGTCTCAAATGTTACTACGTGTAACACACTATATAAGAATGTTACAAGTATTAAAGAACCCAGTAAAAAAGTAGGTACAGTTTTTCTTTTGTCAGAACATTATCCTGTATCTTCTGGCTCAGTAAAAGACATTCCCACACTAAGTGGTACTTCTGAGGTTTTATGTAACATGTCAACGACTGCAGGCTCCCATGATCTTTTAGCAAGAGAATGTGTATCAAGTGTACGTGCTTCTTTGCCCAAATTGTCTTCTGTCACTTCTGTTCCACCACCTTTTTCAAATCCCAACCTTGTCATACGTACCCGTCGAGCTTCTGCAAGGGAAGCCCAATTAAAGCAACCTATTAGTTCACCTGTAGAAATAAGTTATACAAACTCCATTAGTGTTGAGCCTAGCCACTCTCCATTGTCAGGTTACGGGGTTTCGGTGGAACAGGACGAAGTTCAAAATAGAGCAGCTTTGGCTCCATTTCCAGAGAAAAGGGTTACTGTAATCAGATCTATTAGCCTACCGGGTACACTATCCAGTGGTGCTTCTGTACACGAACAGAATGGTATTTGATGATAAACCTTTTTGTTAGGAGCTGAAATTTGCCTGCTGTAAATAGCATGACTTGTGTATGAATGGTATGCAGCCTGGTGTAGACTGTAAGATGTTGTCTGGTTGCATAATGTGTGATGTGTATGCTTGCTGTTCATTGCAACAAAAACAGAAAAAAAAACCCCACTTTTAAAAGGTCTTTTTCCTTAGTTACGTACTTTCTAAAACTGACGTCTGTTAATTGGATTTTGTAAGAAACCTTTCCTTTTGTAGGGTTTTTTCCCCCTCCCCCTTTTCCTTTCTTTTAAACTTTGTGATAAACAAGAATAATGAAATGGAAGATGTTATTATGTAACTGTCTTTTAAGATTAAGATACAATTTAGAAGAAGAAAAAAATTTGTTCAAAGGTATCTGAATCTTGGAAATACTGTGTTTTACTGTAGTTTTGAAGTTTGTTAGCAATATTTAAGGCACTGTAAAAATAAACCTTTCAGTTTGAAGTGTTGTTAAATAAAGCTGAAGGGTCAAACATTGAACTGTGTCTCCTGTGTGTCTCATTTACCTTGGTACTAGCAGCTGTAGTACTGAGGAGGGTATGTACACCTGTCAGGTTTTGGTGTCAACAAAATACTGTATACTCTTACAATTTGTGTGCCCCGTGACCAATGATAAGGGATCTTGCTCCAGAAAAATGCAACATTTCTTTTGGTAGATGACCTTTTTTACTTTTTTTTTTATTTATTTATTTTTTTATTGGTTATGGACGTAATTCACGAACGTGTTGAGCTAGTCATTGTTCACCGGTCTGATATTAAACGTTCAGGCTGTGGTCACAGAGTCCGTACTTGTGTTCTGTGCAGAATCAGCGGCAATTTTTTTTCCTTTGTATGTGTTGGCTTTTTGGCACCAAAACTTGACCCAGTTGTGCTGTGCCTGTTTAGGCTCAACACAGCTCACTCTACCAAGGGAAATGAGATGCATTTGTGAGCAAGACCATTTCAGGCATATTACATTGGATAACATCACACATACTTAAGTTCCAGTGTTGTTGAATACGTTTCTCCATCTGTTGATAAATTGGCAGTAGTAAAGGTGGAGTGTGTTGTATAGCTTCGAAAAAATATTACAGATATAAACATTGTAAGAACAAAAATTAATACAAAAAAAATTATTGTTCATAATCATCTTAAACATGTAAACTTTAACAAAACACGTCTTGGGTTCAATTGCACATCGTGACCTTTTACAGCTTTACACATATTTCAAATTTTGATATCATTTAGAAAAGTACTAAATTTTATGTGACGTAATGTCCCAGATTTTCCAATTTGAAAAATAAGCTGCTACAGTTTTAAACAAGTAGAAACACAAACTGAACATAATTTCAAGCAAGATTCGGAAATTTGCACCACTTTTTGATTTGCTAAGATTGAAATATCAATAAACTTGTTAACCTCACTAGAGAGGGCCCTCCTCTCTCTCTCTGACTTTTAAAATTGTTTTGTTTATCAACTTTACATTGCTGATGGATTTGCTTATCACCAGTAGATAGAGCAGGCTCTGCTTTACGTGAATCCACTCGTCATCTCAGTTCTCATACCTATATTATTCAGACATTGGATGTTTTCATTCTGTAACTCATTGTAATACTCTGAATGGCTAATTGGATTTTTGTCTATTTATAGTTTAGTAAAATGGATAAATATTAGTAGTTTTGAGCCATTCCGTTCTATTGGCTGATATATTTTTTGTTTTAAAATGCTTTTTGAAAGCTACACAATTTTTTTTTGTATGTGAATAAATTTGCGAGGCTTAGGAAATAACATTTTTGAGCACAAATGAGCTCGAGTATGCAGTGAGTACTGCAAATCTGTTTTACTTTTTTTTTAACAAAAGTAACTAAAACGTAAAAATTATTAACTTCTCTGCTTACAAAATTTCAATAAAATGTCTAAAATTCCCTAAGCTCAAGCTAACCATTAGGTATATTTCACAGGCCAAGATCTGTTTACATAATATAGACTACTGAAAACATCTGACGACTCCCACTGTGACTGATTACCGTTTCAGTGGGTGCAAAGTATTGCAATAAAACCATAAAAGAAAACACCCTACATAAAAAAAAAAAAAAAAAAAAAAAAAA